CAAAAACATTGCTGTTTCACGATAGTATATTATGCAATGAGCAGTGATGGCTATGACACGAGTATGAGAATTACGAAACGAGCCTTGGCAAGTAATCAATACGCTTGTGTCGGAATTGGGAGGAAACAGTAATTATTTAATTATACCACAGATTAAATACTATTTGATTGTAATCAATTCAAGTAGGTAGTGTGTGGCGCTAAAGAATAACCTGTACAATTCACCTACTCATGGAACTTGTATAATTACAACGTTCATAGTTAAAAGACTTTAAAAAGTGCATGTTTGTTGAGTCAGTCAACTTCGAACAAGCAAATGCTACAAAGAGATTGAAACAATAGCTCACGTTACTGGAAGTTGCTTACCAAACAACAGATTATTCGCCTCACGTCGCCATTCATAATGCAACACAATTCAATAAGAAAATGAAACACCAATTCGCTATGCCCAGCAGCTGCCAAAACAAATACATTTTAGTTCTATCACTGTTATGGATTTTCATAAATTATGCGTCGTCATCCCGTGATGCTGCTTTTCTATTGGTCGTAACCTGAAAATTTGTATCGAAATGACTATCTTTCCCAGAACAAACAAACTTAGAAAGTAATCCGAAAGGGGAACAATTGAGTACAAATACAATAAGTTCAGCAGCAGTGCCATTATAAACGTTGAATTTACTTATTGCGCTTTATACATATATTTACGATTCATTATTAGGTACAGTTAATTACCAACATGCAAGTTGAAACGTAAATGTTGTGTGAAAAATTGTGAGGACAGATTTGCAAAAAGTCATCATTTCCCAAAAATGAAGCTTGAGATTTTTAGGTTGCAGTTAATTAAGTCCCCCGACTATGATTTAATGGCCGCGGAAGAGATTTACCTACTCGAAACTGTTGGTTTGTGATCTTCATTTTTCTGACTGTGCTTTTAGAAGCAGAACACGAAGAGGTTTAAGACGTTTGGCTCTTCCCACATTATATTTAGCAGCTACTTAATACTAATTGAAATGTAATAATTTACTAGATATTATATTTTTATAACGATCTCGAGAGCGTCATACAGTACAGTTCCATGAAGTTGATTCTCTATCTTGTATAATCATATTAAATTAAATATACCTACTCATCCTTGATTAGATTAATTGAAGTTGTTACTTAAGAAACTCTGCACTCTGAATTTGTAGCGGAATACGAATAATAATCCAGCCACTGACTGCTGAGGTGTATCCGCATTAAACTGAATTTATCTGGACCCCTAACAAGCAAACATGGATTTCACTGGCTGGCTTCATTTACGTTTTGGGATTCAGCTAGTGACATCCAATGTTATTGTTACAGATCCGGAAAAATTCCATGACCATTGAATACAATGATGTAGCCTTGCCTATTGAATTTTATATTTAAAATAAGTGCCATTCACACAAAAGCTAGGGGGAACATATTAAGACGAGGTGGCGCGCCACCTTTACATTATATTCCAGCAGCCATTCTAAGTTTGTTGTTCTATGCTAGCAAATGTTTAATAAGTAGGTATATCAATTAAAGTATGAGTAGAAAAACGTTGCATTTTAAATCTCTCGTAACACCAACGTCAGCCGAACCTCAAATTAAATAACCAGTGGTGCTCAAACGGTCGATCGAGTGCTTTTTGAGTAGATCTCGAAAAATATTTGCTTTTTTCAGAGCAAATCTACAGCTACGGACAGGCGGATGAACGGATAAAACATTCTCGTAATGTGGTCAAAGCAAATGAGCCTAAAAATTGTCGATCAGACCCAATAATTCGTGTAGTGAAAGTTTTTTTTTGAGGAATGAAGAACGAGCTAGCGTCGGGGGACGGGGAAAAGGTCCCTTTTTCAGTTTTCTGCTTTTATCTCGAAAACTATTAATAATATCTTTTTTTATTACGTTTGCATTAATTATTTACATTAAATTTTTTACAAATTTCGTCTATACATACTTACTGTAGTACTTTGGGAGATACAAAGGACCGAAGATGGTAAAGCTGATAAAACACAGATTGTAAACAGGGAGAGATGTTGATTCTTGCAGTGCCACCGTTGACGTAGATAGATGAGTCTACGGGAGACCCCGATTGGTGTGCGAAAAACTACGGGCAGTTTTCGTTGTGAGACAGGTGAGCCCGAGCTATGCCGAGCTCGCTTTCGACTCGCTCGGCATTGGTATAGACTCTTTGTTTAGTATCCGGAACCGTGCAATGCTCCAGAATTTCAAGCGAACTGTTTCATTTATGCCGATTTCGCCTTCGGTTCGCTCATCATTAGTATGAACTGTGTGACCGGAACGCTATAACACGGTCCAGGATTTCGGGCGAGCGGTTGGTTTGTACCGATCTCGACTTTGCCTCGCTCGGCATTGGCATGAATTCTTTGTTTTATGTCCGAGACCGTATAACACCGTCCAGAATTTCGTGCGAGCCGTTGGTTTATCCTGATCTCGCCCTGTGTTTTGGGGCCGAAACAGTTTAACGTCCCATAATTTCGGGCGAGAGGTTGATTCGGGTTGATTTATACCAATCTCGCATTCAGCTCGCTTGGCATTGGTATGAACTCTTTGTTTTGTGACCGAAACCTTTTAGAGCTCCAGAATTTCGGGCGAACGGTTGATTTACGAGTATATCGATCTTGCCTTCGGTTTGCTCGGCATTGGTATAAATTCTGTTTTTTGCCTGGTTTTTTGTGACCGGAACCCTATAAAATGGTCCAGAATTTCAGGAGAGCAGTTGGTTTATACCCATCTCGCCTTCGGCTCGCTCCGCATTGATATGAACTTTGTGTTTCGTGACCGAAACCATAGCTTCAGCTTCAGAATTTCGGCCGAGCGGTTGGTTTATACCCTGGTTTATACCGATCTTGACCTGTATTTTGTGGCCGAAACCGTTTAGCGCTCCAGAATTTCGGGCGAGCGGTTGATTTATGCCGATCTCGCATTCAGCTCGCTCGGAACTGGAATGAACTCTTTGTTTTGTGACCGGAACCGTATAACATGGTCCAAAATTTCGGGCGAGCGGTTGGTTTTCGCGGCGGCAAAAGGAAATTTAGGACCCCTCGTGGATGTTTCCGTGGCCTTTTTAACTCAAAATTGACCAAAAATCGCTCCACTGATGCCGTACGTCAACGGTGCATGTTTTAAGGGCGTTTTCTTGCAAATTTAAGGGCGAAGAGATCCAATTTTAAGCATATGAATGTTACCTCAACTTTTCACGGAGAACTCGATTCCGTCGCAAAACTCCGTGTGACCTTCAAGCAAGTTGTACCATTACATTGAAGTGTTTCGAGTGGAATATAATGGAAAGTATTTTACATAACTACGTTTTCGCAAAAATTAACTCGTTCGTCAGATTTTAAGGAAATTAAGGAAAATACGCCTTTTCGTGGCGACAAAAGGCTACCAACATGTGCGGATCGAAATTTTAGAAAGTTTGGGACCCCTAACGGACGTTTCTGCGCCATATTTAACTGAAAATCGACAGCAGTGCACGTTTCAAGCGGTTTTTTTTTGCAAATTTAGAGGGTGGAGTGAACAGATCAAATTTTGAGCAGACGATTATCACCTCAACTTTTTACGGACTACCCGATTCCGTCGAGAAACTTGAGGTACCTCAAACTCGCTGCGACCTTCAAGTCCGTTCTATCATTATATTTATATTGAAATATTAAATTATTGGTATATATGCATCTTTCTACAAATTGGAAGAAATTACACTGTAAGTCAATGTTCATAACTTGTCAATAGGACATATCCTGGTGATGAAACGGCGGTAATGAAATGTCCCATTCCGGTACAAAGGAACGCTAAAGAATATACGTGATGTGATTGAGTTATCATTGTAGAAATTAATAACGTATTTGAAATTTCTTTCAGATCCTGTAATGTGTTCCAATGTCGTCATATTGAAGTGCAGCAGCTTTTTGTTAGCTTAAGGTTCAATTTAAAATAAGGAAAGTTTAAGAAAGCGCTTTTGGATCGATTTAATTCTGTCTGCATAGACGCGATAAAAAGAGTTCCAAATAACCCCTAAAGCGGAACTAAAAAAAACGGCAGAGCACATCGATGTGACCCTACGGGGTCATTAGATTTGTCCCATTTTCAATAGGCTTGTTACATGTGGCATACACTGTGCAAAGTTTGAACCGGATCGGTTCAAGCGTTTGACAGTTATCGTGTTCATGGACGGACAGACGGATACCATCGGCTCCTCTATAAAGCTTGCATCGATTAGCTCTGCCGCTTAATAAAGCTACAGTAGGTACTCTAAATGGAAGCGGACATTCGAATACTGCAGCGTTTAAGGTGCTAGGTTTGCAAAATATTTGTTGTTACTCGAAGGATAAAGCCCAGCATTTTGTTAACTTTGTTCACAGCATATTCAATATGGTTGGAAAAATTTAAGCCACCCAGGTTTCGTATGTAAGCGACTTCTTTCAAAATAATGTTACTAATTTTATAATAACTTACTAACGTTTAAAAACATTCTATTCTTACAGCACAATCAGACCGATGATGTGTACGAGTATAAGATCACAGTCAGCAATAGAGTTAATTTCGGTAAAGAACAGTTTAAGTCATCACCATATAATAAGAAGTTAGATTGAAGTCCAAACGTTAGATCATTAATAAACGTTACGAATAATGTAGGACCTAGATATGAACCTTGAGGAACACCAGAGTTTGTTTCGATCAAATTTGACATGCAACCGTTTATGAGAACGCACTGTTTGCGGCCAACCAAATAAGAGGAGAACCAATGTAGTAGTGTACTAGAAACACCAAAGCCACTATTCGGAAAAATAAGTTGGTCGATGTGGACGCAGAAAACCATCCGATAGTGGGAAATAAATTTAGTAATATGACCCAGAAGTATTTTGTTTGCGTGATTTTCAAAAACATTTCCAAAAATCGACAGTTTGGAGATGAGCCATTTCTCATCCATGATTCAAAAAAATTGACTGAGTATAAGATCGTTTTTATTTGTAGGAAGATCAAGATTGGGGATTCGTAGCGATGGTCTTGGACCGGCTCTTCTTGTGGATATTTATTATAGCGTCGATTGCCGGAACGTTTGCGATCTTGTGCGAGGCCCCTGCTCTGTACGACGATACGAAACCAATCGACATGGAATTATCGTCAGTCGCCCAGCAACAGTTTCTACCAGATTTAGACTTTTGATTACATTTAAAGTTGTAGTTACAGAAATTTTTATAACCATAATCTAATAGTTGAAAACTTTTACCTTTTTATAGCTTTTTAAGAGCGCGTGGAATCCTGAAAAAGTGTAATAACACATAATATAATATAACGATAATCAACATTTTAACCTTATCATACAAACAAAATTCTTAAATTAACATGTGTTCAGATAATGTACTTAGTAACTGTGCAATAATTAAACCAAACAATTTCTAAAGTGGAGGGCGATTAAAGATATATTGTAGATATTTAATGTATTTTTGTGTTAACAGACCAACAAGACAAAATAGTCTGTGCTCATCCTTTTCGGAATTTAGCAATGGTTTTTTTTCCTCCCGCACAATCGGAACTTGAAGTCATACCCTTAGTTCTACTAAATACAATAGAACTACAGAACTGCGCAATTTAGAACTTCTGGAATCGGCATATTCGCGTTGTCATTGAAACTAAGATACCTACAGTAAGTCGTTTAAAGATTGGGAAACTATAACGTAGATTTATGAAACATTGAACATAACAAACTTCTTGTTTCAGGCAAAATATGTTTACTGTTTTTTTTACTAAATGTTGACTCACGCTCCGTTATTCTGAATATATTGTCTTGTGACTTCCGAGTCCTCCAATAAATAAAAAACTGTTCATTGAAATATAGTCACTTATATCAAATGTAGGTAGTTTATCGAGTATAAAAGTTTTTAAAAACTAAGGAAATAACGAAGTGTGGATCAACTTTCAGTCGAACCGGAAGTAGAGAGAACATGTGTCCTAATACTCATGGACAAATTCCCTAAAAAATCTGTAAATTCTAAGATAGACTGCAGCTCCTTGCAACTCCCATAAGATGTGTAAATGTACAGATTGGAAAGTGTGTTTCAAATGCCAGAAACGCAACCTCTGCTTCGCGTCCTGTTTTTAGAATGGCATAAAGAATTATACAGCAATCCTCCTTCGGTCCTCTATTAGGTTACGTTAGTATTGAGATTTTGTGTTTCTCTTCTTCATACCTCGTCGAAAAAGCTGATTAAATAAAAAAAAAACTTTGTTAAAGAAGCTTGAGGTTACTGGAAACTGAAACACTGATTGGACACGATAAACTTTAATCATAGTTCTTTGTTTCAAAATGTTTCAATCGAATACCTTTACTAGTACACTGTTGAAAGACAAGAAGGAAAGCAAAAATATTCAAATTAATTAATATGACAGCCAGATATTATTTACTTTAAGAAGTTATTCTGGTTGCAGAAAATTAGGCGCCCTTCAGCAGGATTTTATCATTTAAAAGTAGACATAGGGAAAAACAATACACGTAAATCCTTATGTCTACTATAGCACTGCATGTTTTACTTGTACTTTGCCCTATACGTGCGAAGTTGTGCCCGAAGTCATTTGTTGAAACTTGTTTTAAGATGCAGTAATTAGGTTGGTAATCGATTAATCTTGATTGGAGGTTTGTAAACTGGAAAAATTTTCAAATGCACAGTCAAGATACGAAGCTACGAAGATCATTTTACCCAGAACGATCTACCGCTGTGGAAGATTCTCAAACTCTTATTTTGTGTTTAACCCGGAGCTAGTTGGCCGTTTATGCGGCGGGTTTGAGGAAACGCATCGCCAACTCTACCTACCCGTTATAAAATCCTTCGAATTTCCAGTGTAACTAACTGTACGGTTAAATTGTAAAGCCTGTTTTAAATGCTAAAAGTCATTTCATGAAATTTATGAAGTGCAGATGTGCTTTACATGCTGTAATTCTATTTGACTTTCAACTGAAATTTTGCCAACCTAAAAATATAGGTTATAGACAGACGCCTTTCATTACTTATTTTTCTTTTATTTCTGTGCAGTTGTAGTTGTCGCTCAATAATCTGCCTTATCCCAGTCAACAAAAATGACTATCAAATGACACAAAACATAACATTAATTTTAAATATCCAGAGTTGGCAGCCTTAAAACTTCACCTGAATGGTCCGAACCGAAAAGTTGAAAGTTTCAAAAAAAGCACCTATTGCGCATGCCCTCGGATAAGGGAATTTCAACTTTCTGTTACACTTTCAGCATGTAAAACGCGCTTAAATTAATGAACATGTACATCAGTATGGCAAATTTTCTTAATTAGCGCATTATTGAGTCTATAGACTGTTTTTAACGATGAAACCCAGCCTACCATCGATAAAAGAATAATTAATTATTAAGCTACGCATATGTCCTCGATATAAATGTATACATATACATTCAGTGGTAGGTTCGTGACGGTACGCACCCGTACGCCGTACCGGAAACTTTGATAGTCTAAACATAAAACATTATAATGCACAACAATTGAAGAAAAAAGTATAGCCCTATATACAAGAGTACCGTACCGGAACTTTTTATTTTACAGATCACGCACTGTATACAATCAATTTAATTACTGTTATTGGTGGAATCATAGGTAATTTTGTATGGGCGAAAACAGAATCCAAAGGTCTCTCATATGCAGGGGCGTACCGTGGGTAAATGGCGCCTATGGCAAACACCGATCTTGCGCCCCTCACCAACCCTGCTGTCATCTTGAATTTTCCACGTAACGTTATCAAAGTGAGAAAAATGCATAACGACCTCCCTGAAAATGAGGTAATAACGTATAATTTAGAGGCATGGTATACTACCCATTACCTACACCCGTGCGTAATGAAAAACAGTAGAATAGATCATGTACGTTTGGTAGTGTATGCCTACAACTGTCAAAACTATCAACAGACGTCGTTTTGGTTTATGCCTTATTTTCATTTCGAAATTCACGGAGGTAATAGAAAAAGTTAGTACGTAATGACGTAATAACTTTTATATTTAAAGATTTCTTTGTTAATACGTTCTCGAAAGAAACCAAGGGTCGCAAATGCTTCGATTAAAAGGCTACCCTTAAAAAGGTTCCCAAAATTACATTTCTATTGATTTTATTTCTCGACGGCCATAAGACGGAGCTTAGCATTATAAAAGGAACAATTATTAATTTTGGAACCAAAGTATCAACTTATATTATGTCCTAGCGTATCAGTTAACCTGAACAATTTCTGTGCGACAGTTTACGTAGAATCGCATTGTATTCGTGAAGGAACAACTTTGCGGCGAAAAAATGATCACTTTCCCTTTACAATAAAATATCGTAGAAAGTTGCACGCACAAGTCGACTAAAGTCCTTGGTCAGTAAGAACATTAAAACAACTCCCAACGATTCGTTATCTTCAAAATTTTCTCGGGAGTCTACAATTTCAAGGCTATTTTAAGGCAATTGACGTCCTCAATCCTCGATCCAGTCGACATATGATAATATATAACAGAAGGTTTAAGCTCGCACTGCCTTGACTCAAACCCGCCGCATAAACAGCCTACTAGCTCAGGGTTATTAAATGAAAAGGGCTTGACGTGCCTCACAGCGGTTGTTCGTTTTTGGCATAAACCTTCGAGATCTCCTTGCGACTCACCATAAAGTTGAGTTCCGCCGAGCTTTTTCCCTGTATAAATCTGGGAAGATACGTGGGGAGTAGCAATGACATCAAATAACAAAATATCCATATATTTTTTTTTCAATGGCAACCAAAATTAAATCAATAAATGAGATTAAATTTCCCCTCACAATACAAAATATTCCCATATAGGTATCCCACACGATTGCGTTAAAATTCACATATAATTCCGGATTAATTTCCCAAATGTAAAATCTCCTGATTCAATGATGATCGAATCCCGAATGATTCCTAACAAGTAGACTAATATCTCAAGTACAATTTCGCAACGATATTGAAAGTACAAGTAATAATGTGAAAACAAAGATTCAGATTCAGATACAGGGACGTTGCCACCAGAAGTAAGCTCAGTTCCAATGTACAGAGTTCATCAAACATAGAACAATTCCAAGAAACTCGAAATTTCCAAGGTATCGGTAACATACATAATTAATTAATGCTTGAAAGGCTTGGATCTACTTGTAATCCGCTTCAGTATGATTTACGTTTACATGTACAAGTGCTTTGGAAGGAAAAACAGTGTACCATCCAATATTAGCGCGTTAAAAACCGATAACGTATCGGTAGAGGGTACAATAAAGGTCTGACAAAATAGTGACGCTAGATGGTTCACCAAATTCCAATTAGTAAAAAATAATTATGATGTTAGTCCAGGTGTTAGTTGAATATAAAATACGGTAATATGAATGACCCCAAACGCCAGAGTTGCAGGGGGGTTGATGGGTTGATCTAGTTTGACGTAAGCTGTACCACAAGACGGTTCCTGATATCTTATATATCCTCTCCCATTATCTGGGCATACCCACTAAAACCCCACCTGAGACTTCGGCTTCTAAGGCCCTTTGCCGATAATTTCCTACTTATAGCAGCTAAGATATCACACTTTTAAGATGTATACTAGTTACATATATATCACAGATTTTCAGCTCAAACGTACAGTCATAGGACATATTACAAACATTTTATCACAGTTTACTTATCACATTTATGGTGCTTAGAAATCGCAGTACTTCTGGGCATTTATTTACAGTGCTAAAATTCTCTTCCCATATTATGTCACTTATTTGATAGAGGTTACGCGCATCTTGGTATTCTGGACAATCACAAACTATATGCTCCGGTGTTAGGTTTACCTCACACCTTACGCAATGAGGACGATCTTCACCGGCCAACAAAAAACCATGTGTCAAGGCAGTATGGCCAAGCCGGAGTCTATATAGTTTTATCAAGGCGGAACGATTCGTATTAACAAGAAACAGTGGTCCTAGGCTGGGCTTGACCCTCTTCAAGAATGTGTCAGATTCCCTCCACTGGTCACTCCAACGCTCATTTATTTGAGCTTTTACAAGCCTGCCTCCAACTATTTTGGACAAATCTGCAAAATTTGCTTCATGGAGTTCTAAGTGTCTCAGTTCTTCTCTAGCTCTTTCTCCTATCGTTCTACATCTATTTAGACGAGCATTTGTCATCTCATTTGTAAGCAAGTGATGGTTCGGGTATTATCTAGAGATAATAGTTTACCAGAATCTGCTTTCGGCGAAGAGTTAAAGGAAGAATGTTTGCTTCCACGTGAAGTGAGGCGACAGGAGTTGTTGGGTAACCTTATTGCAAGGTTCTGGATTTTATCTAGTGCTCCTAATAAAGTGTTGTTACCGCATGTGAGGTAGGCAGGGCTACCATAATTAATTTTTTATAGAATCAATGCTCTTATGTTAAGTAGAGTCTTGGCATGCGCAC